CAGACACACTGACTGGACACTCCAGCACATGAACACTTCCTCACCAGCGTCAGCCCAGTGATGGCAAACAGCACCTCGAAGCCGCTGTAAATGAAGAATGGACAGAGCAGCCGCAGCCGATAGTCCCTCATGTGTTTGAAGGGCAGCTGGAAGATGTTGCCCCAGCCGATGCTGCGCAGGTCGATCTCCTCCGTGGGCCGGTAGGCGGATCCGCACAGGGCCAGGAACTGGGCAGAGAGGAGCGCGGTTAACAGCCTGGGCAGAACAGTCGCTGACCAGAGGAGGCCATTCCGACTTTCTTGCCCGTTTGACAGCTAGTAGCTAATTAACCTGTGGGCCTCAAGCCATGTCTGTTATGAAGCCAGGGTTTTAAACAACATGGCTGGGCAGCTCGTTCCACACTCCCGCCACCCTTTGTGTAAAGAAGTGCCTCCTGTCCTGACCGGAGGATCTCATCCAGCCAGGGTATCAGCTTCACCAACATGGCTCAGTACCTTGTTGACTGCTTTAACTTTGTCAGTGCCCTTGAGGATTTTGAATACTCAGATCAGATCCCCTCATAAACTTGTCTGCTCAAGACTGAAGAGATTTAGTTCCTCCAGCCTGTCAGGGACAGAGAGGGGTGAGGAAGCCAGAGAGGGGGCAGGTGCACATCTCACCGTAATCATGGCGATGAAGGCCACCCCCATTAGAGCGCTCTCCACCTCGATCAGATTCACACTGCGGGGCAGGCGAGACAGGACCGTCTTGTTGAGACCAGAAATAATCCCCACTCCGTCCGACCCTGGGGACGAGACAGGAGCTTGACACAGCACATTTCTAGGGGTCCGGGGCCGTGTGGTCGCTGTGACCAGGACCGGGACAGTGACAGCTCCGAGTCGCCTGGGCACTGCCAGAGTTGGGACAGGCTACAGCGATTGCCAGGACCTGCCTGGTGCCCACAATCTGGCAAAGACCTCAGCAAGAGGCACTATCCTTCCCATAAGGCACTGCAGCAGGTCACATGACAAACGGCTCTGACAGAGGCTCCCCTGAGGAGCAGCTCGTTAGCCCGTTACTTGTGCCTCAATCAAGAATCCTGGCAGTAATTTTCATGTGACCTCTCGTGT